AATGATATGGTTGCCTGATTTGCACAGCAGATCCTCTCCCCATGAACAGGCTGTTGCCATTTCTTTTTACAACTGGAAGAAGGCAGTAGTTCTTGCTTCTCTTCACATTTCTGTGCTGTTTCTGGATTCCACTATAAGGGCCTTGGTAAGCTGCTCAGTTCAGGGTCAGCTCGAGCTCCTGCTTTGGTCTGTTCAATCATTTTTCATGATTTCTCTGCAAAGTGGCCTGGTCCTGATTTGATATCAAAGGGAACATAAGCCATTGGAGTACTCAAAGCAGGGAGAGCCCAAAGGCATCAGTACACATCTGTCTAGGTATAGAGGCAACTGTTATTTGACACCAGAGTCATTTGGCATGCTGAGCTCACTCAAGCCTTTCTGACAGTTGGGTTACTGCTTACTGAGAGCCCACCATTTGGAAGCAGGATATTGCTTCACTAAGAAGTGAGCCATAATCACAGTGCTGATTTCTCACCTTGGCAAGAAGCAAAGGGGCAATGGCAGAGTTAGACCAGCACTGAATGCTTTTGAGCCCCTGCACACACAGGCACCCACATGCACACCAAATGCACCATCCTTTCCTACGATCCATCTCTGCCACCGATAGCTGCAATGAGTGCTCTGGTGCAAGGTAAAGGTATTCAGCAGCAGGCAGAAATGAGTCATCTCACCTGCTGAAACTTCTTCCCAGCATCGAGTCATACAAGCCCCAAGACAGGAAGGTCTGGGTCCCCATCAATTCTGGGCATTATAAAGTCAATACGAAAAATCTGGCAGGTGGAGCTCATGCTGGCACCTCATTTTTAACTCCTCTGAACTGTCCTGGTCTTCCTGGCACCAAGGCTATGTGTTCTTTTTAATGGGGCTTTCATAAACCTTGTTCCAGGAATGAAAACAGCTGCCAGCGCATGCAGCACCCCAGGGAAGACCCTTGCCTTTTTCCAGAGCACATGAACGGAGCAGGGGTCTCCACCTGCTTTGTGTGCTTGATGTGAAGCTGTGATGTTTGCGAGGGACTGAAGCATGAACTGCCCTGCTAACGCTAGCAGGTGTGAGTAACAAAGGAGAAGGAGGAAAAGGCTGATAATCAAAGAAAAAGAGAAGAGCAAAAAGATAAACCCTCCTGAGAAGTCAGTGTGAGAAAGTATTAATGGTTAACTCACTCTCATTGTGGAGTAGAAGGAAAAAATGCAATTGCAAAGGGAAAGAGAAGTTAACCTTGCAAAGCAAATTTGTCATTCACTCTGCCAGATTATTGTTGTTATTATTTGCTCTTCTCTCTTTGAACGATAAAGAGAAAGCATAAAAATGACCCTCGACAATGGGCATAACACTCTCCCTGCAACCTCCCTGCCTGCGTCCTTGCACACACAAAAAAAGAGGATGCTAAACACAGCCTTTGAAATTCAGGAGGATAATTGATTCTCTGACGCGTAGAAGCCCACAGGACTCCTGAGGGAGCACAGGTATAAAAAGAGGAGATGCACCTCCCTGGCAGCCAGAGGACAGCTGGGGGGAGATCCGAGAGTGCCCTCCTTGCTCAGCACGCATCCCGAGTCCTGCCCAGGCACCGTGCGGAGGGGACAGACCCAGCAAGGCTCACAGAAGCAGCTCTAGAGAAGAAGTATTTGCAACAGGGGAAGTAAACATCTGGGCAGGAGCCAATCTAGGAAGCACTTGTTTTCTAAGGGAACGGTAAGTTTAAGTCTCTATATGTGCATTTAACAAGGTAACGTGTATTCAGAAATTGGAGACAATTAAATTACACTGAAATGCAATCAAAGCTGGCATCAGCAATTAGCTTTGCCAGGTACAATATCCTTTGTACCATACAAGATTTTTTTGTACCAAGTTATAGAATGAAACAATAGTTGAACTATAGGATAAATGCAAATCAACAGAATTATAATATAGATGAGCCTTGTAAAAACATGTTAGACATTTACTAGCTGTAGCACAGTTTTCCTCTTTTGCGATACTGATGTGAGTTCCTTTTTTACCCTGGAAAATGAACACTGTTTTACTCACCCATCAATAAAACTGTGTTTGAGCCAAACCAAAGTGCGAGGAGAAACGCAATGGTGTGTTACAGGTAACGTAAAACCAGCTACAATGAGGCAGAGTAAGGCACTTAAAAGGATTTCTGCTTTTCTAATGTAGTATAAAAGTCTGAACTTTATAAAACAGCAGGCATGGTGAAAGCTTCGTTTCATCTACATAGTGGTATTTTTAAGACTGATCAGGTTAAGGTTTCAGAAACAGTAAGACTGTTATCCCATCTCTCCAACATCATTTTCACAATGCTGCTGTTAGCGTTGCACAGGATGGAAAGAAGCTATTATGCTTTATCTGCTGGAATGGTGCTAAAAGCTCTTCATCTTAAGGGGAATTTATTTATTAATCATTTTTTCACATGCTGCCAGAATGGAAAGTAAGGTGTCCCTCACCTCAGGAGAATTTTGAAGGCGACAAGGTTTTGCAGAGCTGTCAAGCTGCCTGTATGCAGGGTGACACTTCAATTCCCCAGCTTCTCCTCTGAAATAACAGACACTTCTGGGAAGGGGCATAGGACTTTCATTTCAGACTCCTTCCCGAGGGAGAAAGGGAGTCAGAAATACCCAAAAAGCTGGGATGAGAAGCAGACTGTAATTAAGGGAGAGAAGACAAAGAAAGACAGGGGAAGAAAGTAAAAGCCAGAAACAAGCAAAAAAAAAACAGTGCAAAGAAACTAATAGTAGAGAAAGAAAAAAAATATCTTAAAGGGACAAAATGTGATTCTGGAGAAAACCCCAGCATTCAAAGAAGAGAAACCAGATACAGAAAGAAAGTGGAAATCAAGGCTGTATCCTAGGAAGAAAAAATGGAAGCAAACAGCATTGGGCTAGGTTTTCATTTACACTGGTACTTCTCAGCTCACATAGCAGATTTCCTGGTACTGATTAAATCGCCTGGCTGGCACTTTCTGTAGATGCTGGTGCCACAGTCTCCTGGTACCCTCCTGACAGATGCTTTAGATCATTTCCTCTATCTAAAAAGATCTGATCTGGGATTTGTCTTGGAGATATTTAAGGGAGAGGCACAAAAGAGGCATGCTTTTTCAAGTTCAAATGAAAAAAGAAAAAAAAAAAGGCAAGCAGGAAATTTGCTCCAATACCAGAAGCGCTGTAAGTCTCTCAAAGTCACTTTTTTTGCTTCTTCTGAGCATTCCTCAGCTCTCTGAGGGGCCAAAGCGATTCCATAAGAGACCAGGTATCAGAGGTAGGGGAAGCCACCCATGAGTTCACAAGAAGCTCTGCTGGAGCCAGGAGCAACAGCACTGCTCCCAGGGGAACAGATGGGGAAGCTGCTGGTCCCCTGGCTGGGAGCAGGAGCAGCTGGAAACAGGGACCGGGCTGAGAATGAGTTTGTGATAGGAAACCCCATTTCTTAGTGCACTACCTTTTCCCATGTCCGTCCATGCACTTCTGGCACTGCCACTAATTCTGTTAACTTCCACGGTATCAAGATTGGACCCACTTGCAAGACCACCGGTCCTTAATTAGCTCTCCCCTCACTTATGTTGATCTACAATCAGGAGAGCGGGCAGCTACATCCGAGCAGTAAAAGAGAGCTCAGTGCTGACGCTTTCCATCAGAAAGGGCCCTATCCTACCACCACCGTCAGTAAAACCCACTGCTGGGAAAGTGCGTTTGGGCAATTAGAAGCCCAGCCAAACCCTTTCCATTTGGAACTGCTCCTTTTGCGAGAAAGTATTGTTATACATTTGGAAGGTTTTTTTTCCTCTTACGGAGATCAAACATCTTTCTGCTCTTTTCTTGTGTAAAATAAGACAGGGAACAGGGAAATTTTAAAGATTTCTATCCACATTCTTAAAGAATCTTTTTTGAGCAAAAGATCAATCACTTTCAATCAAAACTCAGGAAGAGCATTCACTGAAATACCTTTCTACTGTCCCTCGCTTCCAATGACAAAAGCATCGCATTCAGCTCTGGAGGGTGTGCGACCTCAGACAACTCTGTCCTGAGTCATTTGCAGCACTTCAGCCAGCCCCAGGACTCGGACGCAAAGCACCGCAGCTGTCTGTTGGAGGGCAGACACACGTGGCTCAAGCCCATCTCACCTTCCACCAAAGCCGGTGCTCAGAGCTGCGTAGGCGCCTCACTGAGCAGCGTGGGGGGCTCCTCTTGACACAGCAGCAGTTCAGCTCTACCAAAGGGACGTATTTTGGTCCAGCCCCCATTCTCGCCAAGCATGACAACTGAAGGAACAGTGCATTTTGGTTGCCTAACCAAGCTCAGCGCTGTTGCCTTCAATAAATGGGTTTGCCAGGGTTACCTCCAGGCCAGTATTACCCCTCTGCCCAGGAATTTTATTTGGACTTCCCTGTTTCTCCCTGATCTCTGGACAGCCAGCGAGGCAGCCCACTCAGTTGTTATGCACGGACCTGTGCTGTACAGCCATGCGAGCAGACACACATGCCCGGGAAAGCGTAGGGCAGGAGGGGTCCCAGGGGCTGGTCGCAGATGGTCCTGTGCAGGCAGTGAGGTTGCTTTTGGCAGCCCCTGCTAACTACTGCCTTCCAGCATCTAGGTGCTTTTACAGCCCGTGCAGTGGTCCCTGGGGCTCACCCCAGCCTGCGAGCTTTCCTTCAACCACAGTAGCAGGACAGGTCAATAAGGGGGTCCCACAGGGTGAAACCCTGCTGATCAGCCCTGCCTCCCGACCCAAGGGAGACGCCAGCTCCCCGAGGGGTCACACACAGCCACTGCCTCCAGGAATTGCACTCCCCGGGGAAGACTTTGCCACATCCAAGACATTTCTGCATTGGGAAACACCATAACCACAAACACAGAGGCGCGTTTCCAGTCCCTTCATGCCGATAAGTGAGCAGGGGGACTGAGAACACAAAGGTGGCACTTGGCCTCCCCTCCTGGCCCTGAGCATCTCACTGCTGCTGACTCAGACTGCTCTGCATTTCAGGTGACTCCAAAGGGTGGAAGATGCTGGATAAGGCCACCCTGCTCCTGTTCATGCATTTAGTTGCATGCTCCATCTCCTCTCCTCTATACCCAGCTCTCAGGTAAGCTGCTGAATGTTTTATCCACGTTGTCACTCCCTGTCTCATCTCTGACCTTGTGCAAAATAAGCACATGCGAAATTAAGGTTGCCAGCACTTTGGAAAGCCAGATGAACTGTATGTGCGTTGGTAAGCCTATTTCTTTGCTCTGGCTTAATTTTTTGGGGTACACTGCTAGCCTAGGGGTGGTTTCCAAAGAAGGCAGACACCTGACAGAATATTTCAGCCCAAACAGTTGGTTTTAGAATTGAATGCTGGGTTCTATAAATGGAAATCTGGCAATCTCCAGAGCAGGCAGCACCTCCAGCTCCATCACTGAGTAAAACTTGTGCCTGCAGGCCACCTGCATTGAAGTCAGAACTGCAGATATTCTAGTACGTGAACTCAACAGCTGCCTATTAATATTTCAAGTCGACTGTTAGAAGTTCTAATATTACTTCCCACCATTACAAATCGATGGAAGCACAAAATTGAGCACTGGGTTCTACAATGTGAATTTGCAACATCCCATAGAAAATGCTTTAGCCTTGTGCCAAAGCCATGGTATAACGATACCGGAATCGCTGGAATTTTGCTCGAGAATGTTGGAAGCTCAGTGAGGGGGAATTGTGTTTGAGGCAGCTCTATCAACCATCTTTTCACTGCTGAAATAGCTTCAGGGCAGCTTCTAGCTGGGGACAGTGACGGACAACACTTGCGTTACTGATGAGATGGGTATGGCAAAAGGAGAAAAAAAAAAGCAGGAGAACAGGGAGCAGTGGTCAAGAAGACTGATCCCTGACTGGCAATTGAGCACGTCTCGCAGTATGCCTTGGGTTTGTCTTGCAGGTACAATCCAGGGCCAGTTGCTGGGAAGGCCGTGAACTTCCAGCTACAGCACAGCAGACCATTGCAGAGCCATAGTCCCTTAGCAGAGGAACAGAAGGAGGAGGGTTTGTTAACAGACCCCACTGAGAAAAGGTTTGTACCTCACCTCTCAGCCCTGCTGCAGCAAGAGTACGCTGGTTATGATCTTCCCCCAGCCCAGGAGCAGACCAGCAGGTCGCTTAGTCCCACCAGCACCACAAAATCCAGGCTCCAGGGGGAGAACCCAGCTGAGCCCTGCAACCAGACCAGAAGGCTGGGACTGTGCCAGCTCTCACCACTACCCATGTTTACAGCCATGTCCTGCTGTCTCCCAGCAGCAGGGATGTATTGATAGAGGCAGTGTCACAGGCCCAGGGCTCCTGCAGGGAACATAATTTCCCACCAAGCTCTGCGAATCCCTCTGCATGATTGTTAGAGCCTTTCCTTTCCAACCCTGCCAGGAGATGGAGGATGGTTATTTCTGTCTGAAGCACAGAGGACTCATCCTTACAACAGTGGGAGCAGCCAAGTGGCTCGTGCTTCCTTTACCTGTGGATTTTCGGGAGCCTGGGTCTAACCACAAGCTAAAGACCTGGAGGCTCCTGTCACCCTGTCCCAGACACAGCCCTCCCAGGAGGTGACAGTGTTGCTGCAGAGCACAGGAATGTCCCAGCCCCAGCTCTGCCCTCTCCCAGCCTGTGGCTCTCCTCCTCCTTCCCACTGGTTCTCTGACGTCACCTTTGGTTTGCAGGTACTCTTCCTTACTTGTTTTGCTGTGGATACTGATTAATGGACATTTTATTTTGCCTCCTGCCTCCACATCAGGACTGAGCTCCCTCAAATCCTTTTACCCTCCAACACTAATGCAGTCCAATGCCAAAAGGCATTTGCTATAGTTACCTGCCCCTGATACCAGCAGTGTTACATCTGGTGTATTTTGTCATCTGAAACACCCATTTCTCAGCTAGATGGTTCATTGCTACCTCAGAGAGCACACCTTATGCTTGTCTTTCACCCTAGGATGCAGCGCCATGCTGATGCTATATTCACTGACAACTACCGGAAATTCCTGGGGCAGATTTCCGCCCGCAAATTCTTACAGACCATCATTGGCAAGCGGCTTGGGTAAGCTACAGTGTTTTGCTGTCCTAGGGCTGTTTTGCTTATTACACTGGGCAGTTTTTCACGCACATAGCGGATGTAGCTGCTTTCCACTGCAACAGAAGCAATCTCTCCTGCTGTTCCACATCCCAAAGGGCATCCTGCATCCCTATGTCTCGGATCCTCCTAATCAGAACTATCATTAAGCAGCCTAATTAACCCTTTCCTCCAAGGCTACAAGTGTCAGATCAGCTGAGAGCAATACCATAATATCAACAAGCAATAGTATTTGCATATAGTAGTTGCAATGATCATTCACTGGTAGGGAACAGTTTTCCCCATCCTGGTTTGAATACTGAAACAGCCTCTCCACTACCACCCAGGTAGCTTTGGCTAGATAGATCAGTGACTGCCACTAAATAAGACCAACTAGTTGGATGCGAGCTGGCTCCTATCCCTCTTCTAACACAGAAGCAAATACAGCTGACCAATTTTCTTACTGGAATTAAGCAGAATGGCCCTAGGCTCAGACCCAGCAGGTTCCCTTACTGTGCTGCTCAGCCTGAGCCAAACTTTGAGCAAGGGACTAAAAAGCATCTCTGAAACAAAGATGTTTCTCATCTTTGCGTAACAGAAGCAGTGAGAGCAGCCCAGGAGAAGGGGTGCACGAATTTCTGACAAGGCGCCAGTCTGACAGCATTCTGATGGACAGCCGCTACCACCAACAGATGGTACTAAGGGACTTCCTGGGAGCCATTCTGCAGAATCAAAGGTAGGTGGGAATCAGTTCGTTATCTGCTCACTGCAGAAGGACATTGCTGCCTGGCTTCCAGATGTGAAGCTACTGGATTAAGCATCATCTTTCAGGTACACTCGGGGGAAGAATGAAGCTCTTACCTGACCTCATAACCCAGCCCTTCCCTTATGTGGGCAAGTAGGGTGCAGATAAGGAACAGCCTGTCCTGAGGCAGCCCACACCACACACAGTAGTAAAAGAGTAGTGGAAAAAAAAGAATTTCTGTCTCAATCCCAATTATGCCACCACTACCCTATTCTGTTCTTTCACAGGCCTCAGGACATCACCAGCAGTCGGTTAGAAGGCTTTCCCAGCACCTTGGCTAAACTCATGTAAATACTTCTCCCTTTTTCATCTCCCCATGCTCTGGTAAGTACCATTCCCTGCTCAATTCTGTACATAATACACTGCTTCTGCACTGCTCAAGCGGTTTGAAGGCTCTTCTTCAGTGAAGCCAACTCCCACTGCTGTCCATGAAAAAGGGTGCTTGCTGCAATTTAAGGCGAAAAAACTCCCAGTCAATTTTGTCAAGTACCTAAAGTCCTGTTAGTCTGAACACATAGACCATGAGTGTTGTGAAGCTGCATGCAAATGTCTGGGAACAGGCTTGCAGCAGCCAAAAGCAGCCTTGTAAAGCTATCTGAGACGGTGTGCCCAAGTATCTAAGCTAGGCTAAAGGCAGACAAAAGTCTTTCCCCAGGAGCAGATCCTGCCTCTAGATCCCTGGGACATTTCAGGTTTTCCCTGCGCTGAATAGGAGAGAAAGTCCTACTATTTTCCATACACCTCACTCCTGAAATTAGTCACCTGGAACTTGAATTACGCTCTAAATCTTGCCAGCCCTGGGGGACTGAGAGCCAGCAAACAGTCCACCCTTGGGAATACCTTTACTCGTACAAACATCAGTTGTCCTGTTTGAAGCAGCCTTATCTACTCCTCTGTTGCACAGAAATTAGGCCTGTCCAACCCTAGCCAGCACAATATAAAGGGGTGTGGAGAGACCTGTGTACATAGTAAACAAAAAGGGGGCTGGGGGGGGACGGGGGGAAGATCAGAATGTTACATAAATCGTGCCTATGGATTCAGCTGGGAGAGCATGGCATTTCAGCAACTCTCTTGTCATGCTTGACTTGGTTACCTTTCCACAAATAAGGTCATCCAGGAAAAGCCTCGAAAGAATGAAAAAACTTCTGTATGCACTCACAAAGTTTTCTCATAATTCTCTTTTCCTCCCACTTATGTCTAGAATAATTCAGAGTTCACGAATCTAACTGTACAGTAAGCCCTTCACAGCAATGAAGACATTCCTGGATGTGACCAGCTGGAAACTGATGCATACACTCCACAGATCTGTTCAAAGTAACACAGTTCTGATGCACTACTTAATTTACTTCAGTCTTTACAGTTTAACTCCCCTCTCTAAATACTGGTCTGTGTATTGAAGCAGAAAAAAAATACCTCCGTGGTTTAACCTCAGGCTGCTTTACATACAAAGACTAAAACAACCAGTACACTTGTAATCCTGGGGACATACTGCCTACTAATTAAGACTTTCAAATCATGAAGCATAGCAAAATTTCTGCCAAGTCATCATTCTGTTTGAGGGCCTGATTAATAAACATGAGGCCACCAAAAGGCACCTTTAGGCAACTTAGTAAATTGATTACAGCCTCCTCTAAATAGATGCTGATGGCACAACCACACAAGCAGCTCTGATCAGGGTGAGGCAAGACATGAATCCACACATCTACCACCCATAAGAAATGCTGCTGTCGGCTGCTGCTGTCTAGCTCCTTGATACAGAGCCCTGGCAGAAAACTGAACTCCAAAAAGCTCAACTACAGTTACTGCTCAGCCTTGAGGTGTTCAAACCGAAGCTACACCTCTGCAAGAGCTAAAGGAGATCTCTGTGCATCAGATTAGGCTGTCACTATGTTTTAATTTAACATGCCATCATCCAGTGGCTCTGAACTCCACCGTGGCTAGACTTAAAACTGTAAATGTTTTCAAAGAAGTAAGTTATTAACCCAGTGATCTCATACAGCTACTTCCTTCTCTGTCACCCCAATTCTCCTATTGTTTGTGTAATAATTATGTCTTCAGAAATGTAAATAACATCAGGATGGGGTCTGCTTTCCCATCATTAGCAGGAAATAAAAGTTGTTCTAAATAAACCTGTCCAACAGCAGGTCAAGATGGCTTTTTGTCTGTTGAGAAGTTAGTTTCTTGATTCTGGGCCCAGAATGGAAGATGTCACTCAAAGACAGCAGTCAAGTGCACGGAGGATGATTCAGAGCTGTGCTAACGAAGGCACGAGGTCCAGTACCAATAACTCAATACCAGGCTGGAAATACAGTGGCATACAAACACCTATTAAAGCCTCTGAAATCATCCCTCCTTGCACCCAAACAATTCCTTGATAGTCTGCAGTAGATACCATCTCATTTTTCCTCAGGTGACCATGTTTAGGACAGTAGGCTTCAGTATGCATGGAAATTAGTTCATACTTGCCCTGAATCCCTACAGCCTGTTCAGGTTTTACAATTCCAGCACTATGAAAATATTATGAACTGCCCAGCAGGATGGGAAGCAATGAGGGGATGTTGAGGGAGATCAGTGAACCTGTGACAGCAGCAAGCACACTAATGGGTATCTGTTACCCTTCTGCAGGCAGGCAGCTGTCACAGTGAGACATAAGGCATCCTTCTGCTTCACAGTACAGCTGGACGGAGAACCCGCAAAAGAAAAAAATAACCTGAGCAGGCCTGGTTCAAAATCTGTTTGTAAACCTGTTCTATAACAACAAACACACTTGAAGCTGTTAGGAATTACACGCTCCAAGGAAAAGGAATTACAAAAAATGAAGCAGCTTCCTAAAGTAGTAAGTAAACATGGTAGCAAAAAAAAATTACAAATCTGTTAGGTGGCATAAAAGCTATATGCAAGCACCAGATTGGATACTCCCAATAAAATCAAAAGACCTATCAAAAACACTTCGGAAAGACATAAGTCTGCATGATTAAACAGCTGGGCAAGTAGAGCTATTTGGAATAAAAGGGACTCCTTTGAATGTTCAGTTTACATCAACATGGGAAAACAAATGCTCAAACTCTGGGAGATTAACTATAAAACCAAATAAATCAAACCAGAAAACATCTGAGGAATAAAAGGCCAAAAGAATAAAAACAATCTTTCCTAACGCATAGCTAAGGAGGTAGAAAATCAATAGCAACATGCACAGCTTAGATAAGATACATCACAGTAGCACTCCATGGTTTTCTTTTTGCATCTGTGCTCTCGTTGGATAACATGCCAGAGCTCTAGAGGCACAGGGAAAGTACTATCCTAACATGAAGTATCAGTAGAAAAAAATTAGTTATAAAACAAAGCTGATAAGCAAGTAGTAACAAAATGTCAGGCTCAAAAAGAACTCAATAGGGTGAAAAGGACTTCCAGGGTAAACTACTACAAATAGTAGCTTAACTATTTCTTGCTTAAAACTCCTGTAGTCTCAGGGGACTTGAATGCAGCATGAGATCAGGTTTTTGAAGGAGTGCAGAGGAGGTCAAAGGAATAGTTCATTAAACCTCTATGGTGTCCAGTATAATGTCCACAATGAACAAATGGGTAGGAACTATTACAAAGAACAGAAACAGTGAGCTAAGTGTGAACAACTGCAGTGGGCAAGAGGCAAGATGGCTTTTATAAGGTGGAGTCATGTCTCACACATGTGAAGTTCTTTGGAGGATTTGGCTCCACAACCTTTATCCACATACTTGCTGGTTGATATAATTTTCTTGGATCTCCAAAAGAGATTTGATAAAGTTCCTTTGCCAAAAGGCCTTTAAAGAAACTAGTCTGACATCGGACAAACAGGAGCCAACACATAGGTGCAGGGGAGGGAGCAACTGTTAAGTCTCCCACGTGAAAGTTGCTCATCAGGAGATTTTGGCCTTTGGTTATTACTATCAACATGTCTGCTGCCTCAACATTGCTTAGTGGTCTTGAAGGTAGTAATTAATTGAGAAGTTAGAGCTCAAGTAACTCAAACATGGCCACACAGCAACCAGCAGATTCCTGGCATTCAGTTTCATAGAAGAACAGAGGCAATAACCTCAAACTTGTATTTGGAGTGAAAAGGTTACTTCCAGAGGCTGGAAAGAAAGTGAACCCACTCCAGGGACCCAGCAAACCTGTCAGGGTCAGACACAGCCAGGCACACCAGCACCACAGCTGGCTCCTTGCAAGGGGGCCAGGCTCCGAGGACTCCTCCTGCCTGAGCCCTGAGGGCACACAGCAACTCAGCACAGCCCAGCCTAGCACCATCCTGGAGTCCCAGAGAACAGCCATTAGCAGAGAAATGCAGACGACAGTGTCACACAAGGGACAGGCAGGAACAGGAAGCTCCCCCCAATAAACATGTCCCTCTGGGAAAGGACATGAAAGAACAGGAACCTTCACACAGCAATGACTCATACACAAAATTACCCACCAGAAAAAGCTCTTTTCATTCTCATGTGAGCCCAACTTCCAATCACAGTCTCCAAGACAGCCAAAAAACAAAATTCAGGACCATTCTTTCCTCTTTATTCACAAATCATTTAGGATGAGGGAAAAGGCAGATTTTTCTTCCTTTTTTTCTAAAGGAAATTCAAATGTCCTGGGAGAAAAAGGGGGGAGGATCCAGGGAAAAAAGGGTTTTCCAGGTTCATATGAAAAGCACTCAAGTAGCATGAACACAACGATGAAAATCAAACTTTTAAAAAAGTATAACTGGCACCCTTTTGACTTAATATATATAAAAAAAATCTGCTTCTGCCTTCCTTCTTCTGGTCTTTCAGTTATTTATTCACTTCTGTTCTGAAGGCATTTGCTTTGTTTTTCCCCATTTCTTCCATTCTTCTGGTACTAGTGTGTCCTGGAAAGAAAAATCAAAAAAATTAACTCTTCCAGGCAACAAAGCACTTCCTTGCACAGTAAAAGTGTCCCAAGACCCCTCATTCTCTCTCAAAGGAAGCTTATCAGAGTCATAAAACCAGTACTGCAATGGAACGGAGGACTGAATTCGAGGAGGATGGAAACGGTCAGACAAAATGAAGGTTAGTTTCTGGTGCAAAAGGGATGAATGAGCCTTGTAAATTACAGAACTGAACAAAAAAGCAGGGCTGAATACAAAGTCTGCAGGTACCTTAACCGCTCTTCTACTTTAGAAAGGGCCAATCCACCCGTTTGGAATCAGCTGGCCCATGTAAACACAAAGAAAAGATCTTCATGTCCCCAAGAAGATGAAGTGGTCTAATGTGGGCACAGCAGACCCATCTTTTTGGGGTCCTTTT